ATTGCTCTAAGGCAAACCCTCGAAGGAGTACCTCTAGGTCGGGGGGTGCGATACATCCCCGCAGGCTACGGGGTCACTGGGGACAGGCACAGAGAAAGGGGGCTGAGGAACACAGATGCCCTCCTCTTCCCCACGCACAGGGGAGCCGGGTCAGGGGCTAACTCACACCATTAATATTCTGTGCAGATGTTTTCATTTTTAATGTAATGTAACTTGTTTGAAAAAAACCCTTACATTTATGGAAGAGACAATTTTCAGCAGTCCTCAGGAAAGGTCTCCCCCCACCCCTGCCAGATAGCACTTCCATTATCCTCAGCTTTGTGCATCAAATTGAAGTTCACCGGTCACCCTTCTTACCAGCTTTCTAATTACCCTGGGGGAATGATAGCTAATGGCTCTCTGGATCTGAATAAATACGGGTCCCAGACTAGAAGGACTCACTTCTACTGTCGATGTGGTCAGAGTTAGACTGAGGTCTGGGATGAAATGCAAAACTAGTTTCAGTACTTTATTATTTTTTTTTAAAAAGCAACAAAACATGGATTGAATAGCTAACATCTTAACAAATGTTTTCCAAAATCATGACTTGGCTGCACAAAATAAGGATTGTGTATTAACCTAATGTGCATATAATGAACTAAGGACTTAAGACTGCATGTCTTTTCTCAATGGCACATCGTGCTAAGCTTGACCTTGTTTTGTGTAACTGTATTTATTCCCTGTTGGGGAAAAATAGATCCAGTGTCGCCTTTTTTTTTTTAAATGTGAGAATTTTAGAAGAATTAACTATGCATATGATAAGAATTCAGCATGAAGAGTTACAATTGTTTTTACAACAATGTTGCATTACAATACTAGTTTTCTTTGCCTTAGTTTATTGTTCCTCGAACATATTTAATTTCATATTTATTTAATACAGCAGTGGCCCAAGTAGTGGATTAATAGCAAGACACTGGGATTTGTTGTAATTATATTCTGCTTTTGGCGCAGAATCTGACCAATGAAGAGCAAGTAGTTGTCATACAAGCAAGGACAGTTCTCACGTTGGCTGAAAAGGTAATAACAACTGCATCACTCATCAGTAAACGCATGTCATGAAAGCATCTGACCCTCTCAGAATAGCTCACTTGAAGACACTGGTGATGTAAATGATAGTTCCATCACAAAATGCCGTGATTCTTTATGTGGAATTACGCTTGCACTAGTTTTCACCAAAATAAAAGTAACATTCAGGCAATACAGACAGACATTGCTTATTTTAAAATGTTACTTAATTAGCAAAATTATGTTAGAAGGTAAGTGGCTAGGCTTTGAAATAATGGTTTTTTTCTATCACCAGTATATATATAAAGAAAAAATGTAATAATGTAATTTTTCCTCTTTTATTTAGTGAATTTAAATAAGTACTTGCAGTGTGTGCTGACACACCATAAAGTCACAGTGAAAGCTGAATACAGAGGCATGCTGCCTCTGCTTTTTAGGCTTAAGCGCCTGATCTCTGTTTTTGTGCACAGTGGCTACAGCAGATAGAAGTGACGGAGTCTGCGCTGCAGCAGAAGATGCTGGACCTTGAGAATGAAAAGGTACCCGAGGATGGGGGGAAGGAACCAGCGGGAGAGGCAGCGGGAAGAGCCGTTGTGTTTGAGCCGCAGCAGTTGCACTGACTGCCTCTTCCTTGTGTCCCCAGGAGCTGTTCAGCAAGCAGAAGGGCTACCTGGATGATGAGCTCGACTTCAGGAAACAGTCCTTGGACCAAGCTCACAAGGTGAGGAAAATCAGTCTTGGCTGAATTATGATATCTTGATTGATTTACCTCATGTAACATTTGAGAGGAAATGGCCTCAGGTTGCGCCAGGGGAGGTTTAGATTAGATATTAGGAAAAATTTCTTTATGGAGAGAGTGGTCAAGCATTGGAACAGGCTGCCCAGGGAGGTGGTGGAGTCACCATCACTGTAAGTGTTCAAAATGTGTGGACGTGGCGCTTTGGGACATGGTTTAGTGGGCATGGTGGTGTTGGGTTAATGGTTGGACTTGATGATCTTGAAGGTCTTTTCCAACTTTAATGATTCTGTGATTCTGTGATGTATAGTCTGTTTTTCTATAGAAAAGCTCTGTGCTTTGGACAGTACTGCTCATGGAGTGACCCGAGGACTAAATAGGCTGAATTTTAAATAAATCCTTTGTAGCCTTCGCTACCAATTAGTTCCTTATGGACAGAGTTCCTTGTGTTTGGGTGGCTCTTCCAGGATTAGGATCTGAATGATAACTTATTAAACACAAGTTTTAATTTAGCAGAGATTTTGGTAAATGATAAGAAAATGATGTTTTCAGTAACTTCTCTTTTCCTTCCAAAATAGAGATTTTAGCCTAGACATTTCCTTAATGTTTAGCCTTCCTTAAAGGCTTCTTAATGTTTCCTGTAATCTTAGATTACAGCCTCTGTAACCAAAACAGCTGGAGGTATTATGTGATTCTGTAAATTTGAAATGAAACTGCTTTTAGGTCAGGTTCATCATTAGCTGATCTCTTCAGTCATTAGCTGTCTTGTTTCCTTCAGTTAGAGAAGTGTTCAATATATACTCATGAAACATATAAACATAAAAATTTTCATATTGATATATCTCATTCTTTCAGTTCCACTTAAATCGTGAGCACAGTTACCCTTGAGAAGCAATGAGTATTTATGCCTCTTTATACCTGTTATGTATTTGTATCTCAGACCATTTGGGGGAGCTTTTACTCGGTACACTTTCTGTTCCTGTAAGGATGATTTTTAAGACTGATCCTGCCAAATGCCGAGCTCTATCTGGAACCAATGCCTATGCACAGTGGAAACCCTGGAAAGTAGACAAGGCCCCCCTTACCTGCAGTCTCAGCCCTAAGGCCAGATTATCTCCTGCAGCCTTGAGCTGTTCTGAGAAGCAGCTAGGTGCAGCCGAAGGCTGAGCCTGTAGGATTCATCTTCAACAATAAGCCCTGAGAGAGGTGATCCCTTGGGTGAGTTCTGAAACAGATCTATAAAACTGAGTATGCGAAACTTGCCACAGCAGCAGAGTGGGAAAAATCATATGGCATTGCTTGAAACTCCTGGTAACAGCATGGAGTCTGCAGGAGAGCTCAGACACGGAGCTGTGGCTGTCGAGTAGGGTGTTACTCGGTACCCCTGCGGCTCCTGGCCAGACGCTCACTCTCCATCCATGAGATGGATCTCTGGTTCCAGGATCCCAAATTTACCAAAGGGTCCAACAACAACTACCTGCTTCTTGGCTCTGCAGCTCCTGGAGAAGGAACGAGCGTAATGAACGTGTTGCGGCCAAGGCAGAAATAGCCGAGGGTTATTTGCATTTTCCTATATTCTTTAAAGACATCACGTGAGTCTCCCCAGGCAAAGTGATGGGCTGTACTCCTGGGCACAAATGCAGCCTGAAAGCAGCAAGAAAGCTTTATTCTGCCCCAAAATTCAAGTGGCAAAAGCTCTTTTGATTTGTATAATGTTTCACTTCCATGTTCCCTTTGTGCCCCTTGAGATGAGGAGCCGCTAATCTTCCCCCGCTAACTGCAGCCAACAAGATTACCAGCTGTAACCACTAAGCTTTTTGCACGGTTTTCATTCCCTTTGTTTGCTGGCGGGGGATTTTGCTATGAGAAGCACTTGGCTCACAGAGAGACTCCTGACACTGCTGCTGCTCTGGAGACCATGAATTTCCCCACGCTCTTTCTTCACAAGTCAATATAATCAGAGAAGGATAACAGTTGCATAATCAAGGTTTGGGGTCCAACAGAAATCCATGTTTCAAATAACAGCATTTTGTTGAGACAGTTACTGTTTGCAAGGATGTTGGCGTTCACTTTTAAAAGTGAAAGCAGAATCTTCTTCTGAGGTCTTATCCGATCTTCCCCACAGAGATACCATGGTTGCTGTCTTTCAGCTATCATCAGTATCCATAACTCCTGCCATGATGATGTTATTCTTGTAAATGCTTGTATTCTTCCATCCTGACTCTGCTAAGCCGTAGTAAGAAAACACCACCAGCAGCCTTAGGTGGAAAAGCTTGTTGATTTTGAATTGAGCTGAATTATTGCAACAGATATCTATGGCATGTTCAAACAGCCTGTCTAGAGGTTCAAGCCACACTATTGCAGCAGTCTTGTTCTCCTGAGGCCACGGAGAGCTCTGCAAGGTTCAAACCACACTATTGCAGTCGTGTTCTCCTGAGGCCACGGAGAGCTGTGCAAGATGCCACCAGCTTTGGAGAGAGTGTGCAAAGGTGCCATCATTTGCTGCTTTGTCTTTTGCTCTATATCAGACTTGATGAAAAAGATTTTATCTTGCTTTTGGCTTGTGTGAAGGAATAGCATTCATCTTGGACTTTGAAGGAGAAGACATCGTCTGGCAAGGTCGTGTGCATTAGGAGGGTACCAGGTTTGGTGACTCTGGGGAAACATTGCCAGTCCATTTCCTACACACTTCTATATCTCTTTATCTGTGCCGTAAGAAGAGCTGGCGGGGAAGGC